GGAAAAGAAAATATGGGAAAATCCATGCTTATTCCTCAAGGAAGAGCAATTCTTTATTATTGTACTCTGAGGTTCAACTTAGTCCACCATTAGGAATGTGCTTTGACTTCCAGCAAAATAACTGCAGTGAAACAATAACTATATCCACTGCCACATCCCTGGGAATGCCTGGAATATGAGCAAGATTCAGACCTGACTGACATTCCAGGAACTACCCTGCTTCCCATAATTCTGACATATTCTCATTAGGAAGCTGCGGGCAGTGGGGACACCCCAATCCCAGCGGGATGTGGATTAGGACTCCTCAACCACAGGTTGATGGAAAAGCAGAATTCTTCCCCAAACCTGTCTCCATCTAAAATTCCCTACAACTCAAGTCTCTCTTCCCAAGGGATTGGACAAGAGGAAATCTGCTCAAGTTGTGCCAGGGGAAGTTTAGGCTGGATATTTCTTCACTGAAAGGGTGGTCAAGAGCTGGGACACTGAATATCAGAACAGGTGCCCAGGAAGTGCTGGAGTCACATTCTGGGAGGCATTTTTAGTTGTGGCACTTTGGGTCACAGTTTAGTGGTTGGACTTGATGATTTTAGAGGTATTTTTCAGCCTTAAGGATTCTGAGTCCCTGATTTTGATTCCAGCTCTGCCAGTTACTTCTCTGGGACAGCGAGCAAAGGACATTTTTTTTATCAAGTGTACATAGCACTATCATTTGTCCCAAGTTTCCATCTGTCAGGATATCTAAAAAGGAGGAACACATGTCCTTGTATAAACCTTTAAATCGTGGCTGAAAACCCCTCAAAAAGGGGTTCTAAAAATCATATTTTACCCTCAAAGCTGGAGAAATTCTCAACAATAAATAAAATGTGATGGTTGAATTTTCCACCCTTTTTCCTAAAGAGACTGAAAATCTGTCACTTCATCCCATTCTTCTCTTGGTGTTTTCTTAAAATCTGACAATTTAGGAGTTAATGTGAAAGCAGCTTGTGACATGGTAAGTGCACTGGAGTACTGTGTGGATGGCATGTACAATAAAACCCCTAAAAAATTGATCCCTAAAAATGGCCAGCACCATTCCTAGGAATCCACATGATGCCTGTCCTGTGCAGACATTTAATTCCAGTTTCATCAGCATTTTTATGACCTTGGAGCTGAGGGAGGAGAGAGGAACAGCAAGATCAGGACAAGCATTGCATCCTGGAAAGGACTGAGGACAATGGGACATGCTGCCAGGAGAGGCTGGGAAAATGCCAGGCTTGGAGAGAGACTTGGGAGCTTGACTTTGGTGGTTGTTTATTTAAAAAGGAAATCAGAGAGAACAGCAATGCAGGCAGATGGAGCAGACCCGGGAAATATCCCTTCTGCTCTGGGATGAGGAAGGGTTCAGGGGTGCTCCAGGATCCTGATGACCTTGCTCATGCCAAGGCACAGAGTTTTCTGCTGGTTAAGGAATGTTTGGATTCATGTCTGTCTTAGGTTGAAAGATGTAGCTGGGGGTGTGTATTCTATTTGTTAGAGGTGGGGCAGTTATCTTCTGTTAATTGGGCAGTTTTTCTTTATCTCTTCCACAAACCAATCACCCCTCCAGGAGATCTCTTCTGTTCATGGCCAGTGAGTGTCACTGCACGGCTGATAAAATTCCATCATCCCTTTGGGAGATGCTCCACCCAGGGGGAGGAGCAAACATTCCTGCCTGGATAGAATCTGACATTTGGAACACCACAGCAGCCTTTTCCCACTGGATTACCAGAGGAGCAGCTTTCTTCTGCCGTGCATTCCCAGAGGAAGAGCAGGCCCATCTCCAGCAGCCCTGGAGTTTCAGAGGAAAACTCCCACCTTGTGCAGGATCCCTGCTCCAGCAGAACCACAGCTGGCACTGTAGGAGGGCTGAGCCACCATGGAATGGGACTGTGCCACCACCCTGACCCACAGGGGGTCAGGGCCTGTTCTGACTCTGTCAGCATTTTTTTTTCTCTTTTTGTACTATTGCATTTGTATTTTTAATATTCCTAGTAAAGAACTATTGTTCCTGCTGCCATATCTTTGCCTGAGAGCCCCTTAATTTCAATATTATAATAATTTGGAGGGATGGGCTTTACATTTTCCATTTCAAGGGAGGCTCCTGCCTTCCTTAGCACACAACTGTTTTTCAAAACAAGACAATGTCATGGAAGGGGTTGGGATAGGTCCAAGATGCTCTGCAGTGTAAATGAAAGCCAGACTTACACTAAGGTTTGTTTTATCACTGCCACCAGAAGAAGCACTCCTTCGTTTTATAACCTAAACACACATAAAAGAGAAAACATTCTTTTGTTGTTCCTTTAATCCCTGTTATCTGCTATTTGCCTTTTCAAGGCGAGCTGAAGATGGGGCCTGAGTTCCAATGGGGCTCTCAGCAAAAAATGGTAGAAAAAGGGCTGGAAAAAACCTGTTTATTTGACTTTGTATTGCTTTGGATATTTTCTAAACCAATACCCACACCTGACTTGCCAATCCTGCTCTTCACAAGCTCCCCCACTCCTGTTACATCCAAGAGAAAATTCTCATCTTGAAAAAGATTCAGTCAATATGCCAAAGCCACCTTCAGAACCTCCTTCAGCAGCTCAAAGCTCTTTGATGCTGACAGCGGCAACTTTAATTCTACATAGATGCATCTCTGAAATGCTAAAACCTTCCCAATCTATAAACCCCTCATGCAAATAGACCACAGATTAGCTTTTACACCGCATTTAAGCATTTTTTGGGTTTACAGCTGCATCATACTAAAATAACTGCAAAAAAAAACCCCCGAGAGGTGCACTGAGTGAGACATACCGGGATTCTGGGCCAGGCAGAATTCTTTGGTCTGAACCTGTAGACCCACTGCCTCCCACTTTGTTATGAGCAGCCCATAATGACACCTTGCCATATGCAATAGAAGTTGAATTTGCTGGGGTAACATCTCTGGAGCTGAGCACAGCAATGCTGTGAGGCCAGAACACAGACCAAAGGCTCTGTAGTGCTCTGCTTCCCTCCAAAAAACCCCAAACCTCTTGTTCCATCACACTCTGAGCTCTGCTCTTGCCTCCAAGGGATTCCCATCAAAATAAGCCCCACCAGTGCCACATCTGCCACACTGCAGGAGAGTGCTACATCCTGGATCTGTCTTAGGATCATGGAATCCCTGAGGCTGGAAAAGACCTCCAAGATCACTGATCCACCTGTCAACCCAGCACTGCCAAGGCCACCCCTAAACCGTATCCCCAGGTGCCACATCTACGTGGTTCCTGAACATTTCCAGGGATGGTGATTCCACCACTTCTCTGGGGCAATCTCCTCCAATGCTTGGCCACCCTTTCAGTGCAGAAATTTTTCCAAATATCCAACCTGAACTTCCCCTGGTGCAACTGGAGACGATTCATCTTGTTCTATCACTTTTTACCTGGGAGAGACGACCAACTCCCACCCGGCCCCAACCTTCTGTCAGGGATTTCTAGAGAGCAGAAGGTCCCCCCTGAACCTCCTTTTCTCCAGACTGAGTCCCACCCAGCTCCCTCAAGTGCTGCTCATCAGACTCGTGCTCCAGACCCTTCTCCATCTTTCTTGCCCTTCTCTCACCAGCCCCTCCATTTCTTTCTTGTCATGAGGCATTTTAATTACAAATCACCAAGAACTGTTATAATTAGCTCACCTCGCCTCTCTCCTGAGTGCAGGAAATTTAATTTCTTACTGTCGACCTGGCTCTGCTGCTTGTTTTTCTCTTCAGCTGGAGCTGTAAGAATTCCTTGCAGCCTTTCAGTTCTTGCCCAGCTGGCTGGAAGGTGCCATCTGCCTGCTCTTCCTTATTTTATTATTTACAACACCAATTATTACAAAGGCTACTGATAATTTTTTCCAGTCCCAGATCTCTGCCCCTATTAAAGTCTGAAAGGCCCTTCCATAAGTCTGTCTCCTTTAAAGGAGCTCCCTTTTCCCTGCAACTTTGCTGCTGGATATCCCAGGATCACAGAATGGTTTGAGTCAGAAAAGACTATAAAGATAATCTTATTCCAACACCCTGCCATGAGCAGGGACATCTTCCTCTGTCCCAGGTTGCTCCAAACCCTGGCCTTGGACACTTCCAGGGATTCAGGGGCAGCCACAGCTTCTCTGAGCAACCTGTGCCAGGTCTCACCACCCTCACTGGCAAGAATTTCTTCCCAATATTCCATCTAACCCCACTCTCTTTCAAATTAAAGCCCTTGCCCCTTGTTGGCTGTCAGAGTCTTGTCACTACATGACCTTGTCAAAGTCCCTCTCCAGCTCCTGTATGGACTGAAAGGCCACAATGAGCTCATCTAGGAGCCTTCTCCAGCCTGAACAATCCAAATTTTCTCAGCTCTTTCCTCATAGCAGAGATGCTCCAGCCCTTGGAGAACCTTCATGGCCTTGTCTGGACCTGCTCATTTCCACATGCTCGTGTCACAGGTGATCAGCTGTCACAAATAACCTACATTTAATAGTCTCCAGTCCCCAAAATGTACTCCCAACATCACACCTTAAATCCCACCGTTGTAGCCATCCTAAATATCCCACCACTGCCACCTTGTCCTCTGCCTCAGCCGCACAAGGGAGGGAGATGCTTCCCCTCTTTCTGCCCTCTCCACTTTCCACCCAGATTTCCTCATGGTCAACCCAATTTCCAGTTCCTGCCAGGAGTGGATGAACAGGGGCACAAACGGAGGACCTGGAAGGGAATGCTAAGGACTCTCCACTTTCCACCCAGATTTCCTCATGGTCAACCCAGTTTCTAGTTCCTGCCTAGGAGTGGATGAACAGGGGCACAAACAGAGGACCTGGAAGGGAATGCCAAGGAGAGACAAAGGGAAGACAACACCAGGACAGACATGGGGACAGACATCCTGCTCCTGGGCTGCTGTGTGGTGCATGTGTGTTTTTTGCAACATGCATGGTCGAAAACCAATTTCCTGCTGGCTCCCACGTTCCTGCTGGCACCAGAGGGTTTCTGGAAGTGTCTGACTAACCTTGCTGTCCGTTGTTGGAGACTCCTTCTCCTTCTCTGCGTGCTGGAGTTTTCTGTTCAGGTCCTGGAACATGTCTTGGTGACGTTTCCTTGTGTGCATGATTTTCTGGAGCAAACACAAAGGGCCACAGGTCAGCAAACCCCATCAAGAACACGTCCTCCCCGCAGAGTTACATCATTTAACCCCAGCTCTGCCTCTGTGCAAGTGCCTAAAATACTTTCTGCATTTACTGAGGACCCACTGCAGCACTGCCTTTATTTTCAAGGTGAGATGGTGGGAGAAAATGGAAAATACTAATTTTTGACCTACAAAAAACCCTTAAACTTGCAACAATCAAATTCTGATGCTGTGGAATTTGAGCTTGACTGTCAATGTTCTAAGGAAGGCTTGCTGCCCTTCTTTAGCTAATACCTGTCCCAGTGCTCAGCCTTTCCTCAGTTTGTCACCTCTGTAAATGTGTACCCAAATGTGTAGAATTGGGGTAATTTAATTAGAAAATGTTCCACAATCTCATTTTCTTTTTAATTCCACCAGTCTGCTTTTCACTTCTACCTTCTGCTGCCCAGAAGGAGAGGCAGGGCAATTTCTAGAAGGATTTCCTTTTCCCTGTATGAGCAAGCTGAACAGGGATTTCCTGTGCCCTGGCAAGGGTGAGATAATTGGAGAGGATGGCTCAAAAAATTTGGGACCAGCATTCAGAAAGGGATGTACTCACCTCAAAATCTAACTCTGCATACCGGGATTTCCGCCTCTGGATATTCAGGAGAGAAAAAGATGGGTAAAGGTTAGTAAGAGGATAACACAGGAAAAATCCCTGTCCTTTCCCTTTTTCTACACCTTTAACGTGTTTTTCTGGCTCTTCATGATGGGAAGTGCCAAATATTTTACATTATTTAATTTTTTTATGTTGGAAGGCATCTTAAAATCAACCAGTTCCAACCTCCTGCCATGGGAATGGACACTTTCCACTATCCCAGGTTGCTCCAAGCCCCCTCTAGCCTGGATCCCTGGGTGTTCTCATCTGTATCATGACTGCAACCTTCAAAATGGGAAATAGGGCAGACGATCGAAAGGGGAAAAGATAAGGCAGGCCATGTGCCAGGCATTAAAATGAACACTCTTTGATAAATTAACTTATTTTTTGACTTTGCAGCACCTGTAGGGCTAAAAATAGTTGATCCAGCAATGGAATGTGCTCTGGAAGTTGTGACATCACATTCCAAAACATGACCACATGCCAGTTGTCCCTCAGGGTAATATGGCATTGCATCCTGGGCTACATTCTTCCTAAAGTTCTTCTTTCCAATCCCCTGGAGTGGCGGGATTGAGGGCAGAACGCCACCCTGGGCTGAGAACAACACCATTTCCACACTCACCTCCAAGGAGCTCATGGAGAGGGTGGAGACAGTCTCGCTCTTGGACACCACACCCGAGTTCCCTGAGTCACCCGTGTCACACAGGCTGTTGGGAATCTGTGACTCGTTGGAGATGTTCTGTGGAGCCAGCTGCTGCTGCTGCTGGATCATGGAGGAACCCTGCACCTCACTGCACGCCATGGACACCGGCTCCCGCGGGGGACTCTTGACCACGAAGCCGGGGTCGGTGGCCATGCTGAGGTGGATGAGCCGTGTCTGAGGCATCTGGTCGATGTTGATGCTGTATTTGCTCTCATCTTTGGGTTTGGCTCTCAAGGTGGACGTGTTGGTGGGCAGGATCACGTAGCTGGTGTCCAGGGTCTGCTCTTGCGCCCGCGAGAGCTCCGAATCCAACTTCTTAAAGATGTCCCCGTCGCAGATGTAGATGGATTTCGGCGGCTGGTTCTTGTCCTTCTTCAGGGTGAGGGAGTGGTTGCTAAACTCGTTCAGGTTGATGGCCCCCAGGTAGTGTGGGGAGCCCTGAAGGTGCATCTTGGAGACGTTGGCTGGAAGACTGTTGAAGTTGGATGAACCTTTCTGGTGGTTGAGTTTCAGTTTCTCCTCGTCGGGCAGCGACGGGCGCTTCAGGGTCCCCGTGATGGTCGAGGTTCTGCACGTGGTGATATCTTTGTTCAGCACTGGGGAGACAGAGAAGTGTCCTCAGCACCTCACCTGGGGTTTTGTTGACATATCAAGACACCTCCCACAATCACTCCCTGCCAGCACCTCTCCCACACAGAGGCACAACAGTGTTTAATATTATTTGTGTTTTTAAAATCCAGGATACCGAAGGCAAAATTAAAGCTAGGGAGGAAAAAACTTTGTTATTTTAGGAGAGTTCTTTGTGATGTGAGTTTTCCAACACAACCATGGCCAAAACTCCCATCTAGGCCAACAATACTCTGAAAACCAAAGAGATTTTTAGATAGTTAGTACATCTACTATATGTATGTACATATGAAATCTATACATTATTAGCCTATGGAGTAGAATTCTTTAAAACAGAAGGTGGCTTTCATTTAAAAAATTATTTTGATTCAGGAAATAGCTGAAATACAACATTATCAATCATTCATACAACTATGAAATCATCAAATGGCCTGGGCTGGAAGAGAACTTAAAAGATCATCGAGTTCCAGCCCCCTTCAAATATAATTTTTTGTATTAACTCATGAAAATACTTCAGGTTGCTCTTTTCCCTTAACAGTTCCAGTGTTAATAAATTGATATTTTGAAACACATCATATTTTGTTATGAATTTCAAACTTCTCTCCATAAAATCTTACATCCCAGTAATCATGGTAAGCCATTGTGATAGCTCATTATTTAGCAATTTTCTATTTCCCTTCAGGAAAGCAAGTGGTGACAGGAATATTCCTTAAAAAGAGAGGAAAAGTTTAAACTGAGGAGAAAGTGAACACGTCATAAAGGACATTGAGACACTCATTCCCACACAACACTGTCTACAAAAAAAATATTTTGCCCCTTTTCCGGGCATAATAATCTATTGCTCAGTTGATTTCAGGCTGCAACAAAGATGTTGGGAAAATAATGGTGTCAACCTTGATGTCTCAATTGGGTGGAAAATCAGAGAATCATGGAAATCTGACTGTGGGGCAAGGACAAAGTGTTGTGAGCTACTTACCCAGGACTTCAGTACAGCAAAAGAGAAAGAAAAGTATGCTCCCTTTTCACCCATCGTAAGGAGGAAATAAAAAAAAGGTAAATGGATCTTTTTTAGGACCAGGGAGAAGGATTTTTCGGGTGAGCTGACATTATTCAGCTGCTCCATGTGGGACAGAGGTGGGATGGGCATCCCATGGCACTGAGGACACACTGATTTTCCTACCAGCTCAGAGTGGGAGTGAGGGAAGATCAAAGCTCCCCCCCCCCCACAATACTACAGAGCACGTAAGGCAGGATGAGCAGGGCACCAAGGAGAATAAAAAGAGCTTGTAAAGAGCTTTTAAAGCTGAAAACTCTGGCAGCCACGAACCTCTTGGCATTGCTGGGATAAATCAGAGCAAGTCAAACCCTTCCCTTGGGAGTCCCAGCAAGGTTTATTGATCCAGGCTCTTCTCCATGCTCACATCGGCTGCAGAAAATAGGGTTGGAGAGGTTTCCACTTGGAAATCCACTTGGAAATCCACTCCAAGCAAGGAGCAGAGTGAGCCTTCAACACCAAGCCCTGCAGCAAATCCTACCAGGGGATCAATGTGAGGGAGCTCTGAGTGGTCTCAGCCACATCTCCAATCCATCACAAGAGGGGAGATGGTGCCTCCAGGAGAAGTGATGGCCAGAAACCATTGGACAGGTTCCTGGTTTTTATTATTTAATAAGCAGAGTGCATGGGATGATGCACCACTCCAAAAGGTCTCTGAAATGAGGTTTATTATTAACTACTTATCTTGGCACAATCTAATAGCACTTTATGAGAGGAGGAGAATCTCCAGGCAGACCAATACAAATTATAGAGTTGGATGCTGGCAAACGAGGGGAAGCTTAGGCTGTTGGCAAGCTGCTGATCCAGGGGCTTCTGCCATGAAATCACGTGAAATGAATCAGCTCCTTCCTCTGGGAAACTCAATTTGGGATGAAGAGGTGTGGTGGCAAATCCAGAAAGGCTCCTCTAGAGGAGGAATCTGGGGTCTGCTGGGGTTTACAGCTGACTCTGTGTCTGGTGAATGTTCCCTCAGCATCTCCTCAACTCAGACATGGCCCCACACACACGTTTTTCACACATGATTTCTTGGGATTGAGATATTTGGTGTCAAAAGAGACAAATGAGAAGAGGCTGACAGCTAGAAATTAAATTAGAGAGTGTGAGACAGAAAAACAGAAAGAAAAAAAAATTGAGAGACCCTGAAAAGAGATAAATGGACAAAAGGGACCGTGAAATAAGATATCACAGGGGTAAGTGAGATAAATATACTGTGACTGTGATAAGCACAGGGAGAGAGAGTGAGGCAGAGAGATGGACAGGAAAAGATAAATAAGATATAGATAGATATTAGGCAGATAAATGATAGTGACAGTGATAGACAATACACAGAAACACAGTGACAGGGACAAATGTTGACAGATAGAAATACATAAATAATAGGTACAGCAAGACAGACAGCTGAGGACAGAGATAAATAAGTGATTGTGAGACAGAATGAAAGAGATGAATTATAGATAAATACATTAGAAGCAGATAAATAAATGATAGATGAGATAAAGAAAAGGATAAATGAAAAGGACAGGTAGATGTTTATAGAAAGAGAGAGAGGAGGGGAGAAAGAAAAAAGGCAGAGCAGGGAAAGAAGGAGAGAAAGAGAGAAGGAAAGAAGACAAGAAAAAAGGAAAGAAGGAAGGCAAGAAAGAAAGATTGATAAAAAGACAGAGAGAGAAGCTTTGCCATAGTGGTAAGTGAACACAGAGTGTGCTGTCCCTGGCTTGGGAAGATCCTGGTTTGGAAGATATGAATTATGCAATTCCCAAGCAAGCTGGTATTTCTCTTGCTTGGCAGAGGGGAGAAGTCTGGAAGGGCAAATGAAAGCCTCAGTATCTACAAAGGGTAAGAAAAATAACCTCGGCCAAAAGGTCAGGCATGCCAGGACCAGGACAGGATGACACCTGCAGAGAGGAACAGGCAGCCAGGGAGAATCTAGGCAGCACAGACACCCCTGGAATTATTGGGAAAAGGGGCTGTCAACTCATGCACATCCTCAGGATCCGGAGGAACCTGTGTGATGAACACACAGCAGAAAGGAACAGGCAGAGGAGGAGAGATCCAACCACTTCCAGGTGCACAGACAAGCCTGGAGCCAGGTGGAGTGGTGGGAAGGCTCTCCAGATTCCAGACTTTCTACAAAGACACCCTTCATGAGCACAGAGCTGCCTGGGGTTGGCAGGAGTCCAGCAGGGCTTGCTGGAACAAAGAAGGATCGCAGTAGGAAGAGATGGATCCCATCTCTTCTTCCTTGATGCTCTTCTCTGCCACCGTGTTACATGGCAAAAAACAATTCCTCAGAGGCAAGGCTTGATCTAAGTTAAAAGGCCAAAAGAGCTACAGGAAAATAGAAAAAGCAAAGGGAGAATTCAGGGTGTTGTTTTCTTTTGGCCAGGGTTGAAAGGAAGGGCAACCCACATGAGGACATGCAAGGCACCAAGACACACACAAAGGAAACAGAAAGGGAAGGAAAAAAATGGCCTAGTTCAATCCCCAAACCAGGTCACTTGCTGATTCTCACCTGTGATGTGCTCACCTGATCTACAAGCCATGTCCACGTCCTTCTCGAAATCGGTCTGAAAGACAGAGAACACAGAGGGTGTGGTCAAAAAGAGGTGGTGAAGGACAGGAAAACTTGGAAAATGCAAAACTCGCACTTTATTAGTGAGGTGGGTACAGACTTTGCCAGGAGAGTGGAGGGGAGAGGTTTGGCTTGCATTTTCAAACATGGAAAACACACCATATTTTTCCACTTGCTGGCTTTTGAATTTTATCACTGATAAAGCTGGAATGTTGCTTTTCAACTGGGGTCCATCTGCTCATCCATTCATTTATTCCTGGGCTGCAGATTAAAATATCTTGCCGAAACACATTTATGCACACTCCTAAAAAAACAGGGAACAAGTTGCTGGCCCAAACTGTTTTGGATGTATCACTCCACACATAAATTTAAGTGGATTCCCCACCCTTTATTAAAGAGATCTGGGGATCCTGCTGGGAATGCTCCACCCCCACTGGGCTTTTTTGTGATCTGTCACCAAGTCACATGAAGTGGGAACAAGTCTCTGTTTCTGAAACTCTTAACATATAAAATCAATTGCTCCTACAGGCACAAAGGCTGAATAACTTTTTCAAGTGGTCTGTGCAGCCAAAGGGAACTCCTTTCTTCTCCCAGGAGGAGTTAATCCTTTTTCTGAAGCTTTGAGCAGATAACATTTCAAAGAACTGGATAAACTGAGTCACAGCAGGCCGTGAGCTTTCATGGAGTAATGGAGAAGCTGCAGACTGGCAAAAGGTAGAAGAGTTCACTGATTATTTCTGGTATCATTTCAGAAAGACACTTAACATAACTGTATTAATGTGATGAAATGAAATCCATTTGAATACTGAGAAGAATGCGGGAAAAATCCCCATCCCCCTGAGATAAACAATTAAATATTAGCAGGTTGGCAGCCAAGGGTTTTTCAACTATCTCAGACTTCCTGATGTTAATTTCCCAGTAAATTCTTTGGGATATCAAACAAATCTGAAAAGAACAGAAGAGAAATACGACTGAACTAACATTTGAATGGACAAATGGGATGACACAGAAAAATATAATCTCATTTTCATGATAGGAGTTTCCGAAAAAATGCAGCTGAACAGCCTGCACTAGTTCTGCTGATAAATGAATGAAAGACAGGTTTATATTTAACACCAGTCAACAAGATTTTGTGGGAAAAACAGTTCTACTCAGCTAAGCTCCTTTTCACTAGCTGGGCAGATCTGGAGATAAACAGAAAAGGTAACAGCAAAAATGTCATCCTGCAAAAGTTTTTGATTCCTTCGGTGATTTTACAACAAAATAACATTGTACCCCTCTAAAAGTACCAGTGAGCAGTCATCACTCACAGGCAGATTCCACAGCTTTTTGTGCTGGAATGTGAGGAAAGTGACTGTAAGCTCCCTGCTCCTCCACACACCCATCAGCAGCACTGGAGGAAATGCAACATTGCTAAAAAACTGGTAGCTGATCCAGAATTTCCCAAGGTGGCTGACAATGAATGGAAATGTGGAGTTGTACAGAGATGCAAAACCCTGAAACTTGGGATGGCGACAGCAGACTGACAATCACAGGATCCACCTTTTTTTCAGGTTGCTAAGAATCTGGAGGGGGCTATATAAATAATTTGAAGGCACGTGATTTACAGAGGGAGAATAAGAAAGCTGTGGGTGTTAACTTATGGAAAAGAAGATTCAGACTGGGTGTGATTATGATGTCTAATATTGAACAGGCCAAAGCAACAGGCATCCAAGGGGCCCTCTAATTACCCACAATTAGGCAGAGCGAGAACCTGTCTGAAAATGAGAAGACTCTGCATTTAAAAGAGAAATGAAGCACCTGTTTTTAGCAAACACCACTGAGGCGTGGTGGAATTAAAGCTCTGCTGATGTCTTGACTCCAAGATTGTGCTGTTTGAGATGAGGCCTCGTACCCAGGCAGAAACTGCTCAGCACAGGAGTGACTGTAAAAAAAAACATCACTGGGCTGTTCTGTAGCTCTAATATTAACCAGGAGCTTTTGGAAGTTGCTCAGATCCTCTGATTCTCTGATATCTTTATCTTAACCTCAGAAATTAAATGTTTCTTGTATCAACTACTTCGTAAGAGTGGAGCAGAGGCAGGGCAAAGCCCCACAGCCTATTCCTTTACTGTTTGCAAAGGACTTACACAACAGGACCACAATTTACAGAGCTTAAACTATTCCCAGTGAAGCAAAGTGTGCTTTTGAGAGAAAAAAAAACCCCTCTGAAACAGCATTTCAGCATTTTTAATGACAGTAACCCAAAAGACTGTGATTAAAACAGTATTAAACTACTGCTTCCTAGCTCCAGCCAGGACAAGGCACCTTAATGGGGATGAAAAGGTCTGGAAAACATGAGAGGTGTATTTTGGTTCTTTATTTTTCTGGGAAAGAAAGGATCTCACCAAGATGTCTGCAAAACCTAGTGTGGAAGTTTGAGAACCTTAAAATTACAATGCAACGCCCCAGATTTGTGTGAAAAAGTCCATTTTAAGGGCTGTGTTTGCTCAAGCAAAAGTTTAAAGGAAATAAGAATGGTAAATTCAGGATCTGGGATGGACAGAGTCCTCTGCTTATCCGTCATGAGTTAAAAATCCCCATAAACCCCCTGCGGAAGGGGAAGTGGGAGATTTCCCTACCATTAGCTGAGCGTGTCCGTTCTGAAATGACCCCCCTGAGTCTCCATTCCCTTCCTCCTGACGATCCACAACCCGGCACTTCACAGCATCCTGGACCTGCAGGAACAGATTGGCAAAGGTCAGAGCCAGACTGACCAAACCACGTTAAATTCCGCTGAAATCCAAAATAAAAATAGCTCTTGTTAGATCAAAAGGACACGGACCCTGCTTTAGCAGCATCCAGGCATTTCTTTCACATGGTTTATGTGTTACATATTTCACACACTGAAGTGCAACTCTGAGTTTTTCTAGCAACCCTGGGTCACTGCCTAGGTCATTTCCATTTGCTTGATTTATACAGTCAGGAATAAAAATGTCCTTTATTTTGCAGCTTGCAATAAGTTTTAAATGGATGCTCCCGCATTAATCATGGTATTGGTGTCTACAAAGTCTGATCAGGATCCTGTAATATAAATCTGAGCCCAAACTCAGAGAAATAATTGGAAAAAAAATCCCAGTGACTGCAGTGGGAGTTAAATGCAGACTCATATTCATAATGCAATTAGTGGAAGGAGTCTCAGCCAAGCCAGTGGTGTAATTCCATTGATTTCATTGGTCTGACATAAGAAATTAATCTGTTTTACTGAATTTAAAGGAACTGTAAGAAGATAAAATTAATATTGAAAAAAAAGCCCCTTCCTGTCTCTTTTATTAATAGTCTCTCCACTCCGTAGGATGAAAAGAATAAAAGAAACATAAAAGATGCGTCCTTTTCTTCCCTGATATAATTCACCATTTTAAATCTCCAGGGAGGCTGAAGAGAATTTCCTCAATTTCCTTGCCTGATTATTGCTGGCTGCACTTCCTAGTGGGAATATCAAGGTGTTAATGCCAGCACAGATTTCATCCTGCAAACCTCAGTGCATCTCACCTCTCCTGAAATCACACAAATGACTTCTTTAATGTGGCATTTTTTGGAGCTGGGGTGTGAACATTCTGGAAACGAGAATTTTGCTGGTAAACAAGCAAAGCCTGACATGTTATCCCATCTCATAAACTCCACCCTGATTCACCCCTCCTTCTCTCTGACCGAAAATGTCACGGTCATTTTTGTGGTCGCGACCTCCCCCAAAGCGAAATTTGTAGGGTTAGAGAAGTTACCAGGCTGGCTAGGCTGCTTTTCCAGGTGGTTTTTATGGGAAATAACGTTAATTATGTAACAGATAATGACTCCTCCCTCTCACCTCCCGCCTGAGGATGCAGTGGACCATGACGATGACAAATCCCTCCAAGGAGTCAAAGACGGCGAAAAGGATCTGGAAAAGCGCCGAGCGCCGGTCGGTGATGGCCAGGACTGCAGACATCCAGGTGAGAGCCAGCAAGGGCAGCACCACGCAAGAGCTCCAGAGGGATGCCCTGTCAAGGGAGAGGGAAAGAGAGCTCAGCTCCACCTCACCCACTTCCAGGTGGGGTTCTAATTCAACCTCCCAATCCCACCAGGCTGCAGAGGATTTCTCCAGCCAGCATCTCCGTGAGGGAGACCTTTCCTGAGCCCCTCTCCCAGGGAAGCTCAGGGAGGAGGAGGCTCTGCACACTCATGCCACCCAAACAGAGGGGACAACTTCCCAACAGTGCAGTCATGCATAAAACTGGAGGTGGGGAGGAAGGATGCGGATCCCTCCCTCCCCTTTCCACGCCCTTCCCACTCTGCCCCTAATCCACCACCACGGCTTTTCCCAAGGGAAGGAGACAAAATACAATCACTGCAGGTTGCCAAGGGGGAGGGGAACAGTTGCAGCAGAGACTGGTCTGTCACGATGGCTGTCGGTACTCGGGTCACAGACACTTGGACTTCCACAGCACATGGAAGACACCAACACTGGGACGTGTCACGCTTTCGAGTGACTCAAACGGACAGGCAGAGAGCTGATGTGCAGACTGAAATATTTGTATTTCTCCTTTTAATCTACAGGTGATGGTCCCCACGACAAACAGGGGGACTAAAACCTGACCTCATTTCCTTGTGGTCAGAAAATTTTCAGCTTTCTTGTGAGATCTCCCCAGCTGATGCTGTGGGAAAAAAACCCAACTTTTTGTTCCATGTTTGACAATTCCTGTAAGTTTATTCCTGTGTGGACATTAACTTGAGATTCAAGCCACATCTCCATTCACAAGACAGAAAACTGGACAAAACAAGTTTTCTGTGAAGCTACCCCAGGAAACTCCACTTTAGCTGTGAATGATGGCCCTGCAAATGGGAAAGCAGCTCTTTTCCCAAGGACTCTTCAGGCATCCATCCCTCCAACCAAAAAAAAAAGACCCCAAACAATTTTAACAGCTGACTAGGGAGATTTTAAGTTGTCAGTCATCCCATCTATTTGGCACCAAGAATATGAGGAGAATTTCCCTGTGGGCTTTTACCTAACAAACCAGAGAAGGCCTTGAATAACAAGAGAATCTAAAAGGAAACCTTCAAATACAGACAAATACAGGCAAGACAAGAAATTACAGGACAGATACCATGAAACATGTTCAGCAGTACTTACATGGGACTTGCTCACCATTTCCTGATCTATGACCAAGGGTTTAATGTTTACTTGCTGGTTAGCTCACAGACCTCAGTGAGAGTTTTACCTGAACAAAGCTGGAGCTTGAATACAGGTTTGGACGTCAGGATAGAACACCCTGGCTTCATTAAGGGTTTTTGAAGGATTGTTAACATCAGTTCTGCAATGACCAGACACTAAAGTGACAGTTTATTTTTATAGGCAGAATGAGACCCTATTTGCAAATATCCTTACAGCCTGTCCACATTTGGGTCTGGTCATTAATGGTATTATTAAGGAATTTAATTGACCCAAGGGAGCAGGGAAATGGAACTATTTTTCTTTTTAATTAGAACAAGCACTATGAAACCTCTTTGTAAGGTAAAGGCCATGACATAATCTGGTATCTTGTAATTTTATCTTGGATGGCAAATACTGCTCTTTAATACCCAAGACAAACTATGCTTTCAAAGTACTATTAAAAAAAATCTAAAAAAAACCCCCTAGCCCTCAGCCAAACAACGCCTAAAGAGAAATAACTTATTCCAATTCTCTGAAATCTGTCTCATTACACTGAAATCTCTCTTTGCTGCCATTTGTGGTAGTGCCTTCATAAATCTGGCTAAGCAGCAAGTGCATGAAAGAAAAAATCAGTGAGGCACAAATGCTGAATGGAAAGATAAGATTTGGTTGAAAAGGAACCTTTCTAGATGTGTCTTCCATGCAAGTATCAGCCAACTCAACATGGCTGAATAGATGAAATAATTCCAGCAGCAAGGGGAAACCGTAAGTTCAATAAAAGCTGCTGGGAAATGTCTGTAAGAGACAACCCTGGAATTATCTGGAGTTCCAGAACACTCCTGGTACACCCATTCTGTGGATATTACTGCCACCCAAGGTGAAACAGGAAGCCTGGCAATGGATCTGAGCCAGGTCTGAACCAAATAACTGAATCTGGGTGGGTTTTCCATTCCTGAAAAGAGCTGCAGGCTCATAATGACAATGAACTGGATCTGGATCCAAGACTTAGATGTGGATCTGGGGTTGCAAGGGATGCTGCTGAGAAGGTAAATTATATGTAAATTATGTTTCTTTTAAGCACATGGTCAGATTTGAACCCACTTCAAAACCTGCTTTAAGAATGAATTGTTTGGGTCAATTTGCTCTGCCCTTCCAACCAGATGATGAAAACATCATCTGCCCTTCCAGCTGAGCTGATGACCACATACTCAGCTGGATCAAATCAGGATTTTCCCAAGTTGTGCTGACTTACATCAGCTCAGAGTTCTGCTCTCTTTGTGATTCACCTTCCAGATGCCTTCTCAGCAGCATTCATCCCTTACAAAATTGATGAAAATTCTGCTTGATACTTAAATGCATCATCTTTATTCTCAGGCAGCAGGTGGCAACAGGTCACAGGAAATAGATCTCACTCTAATTTCACTTGCAAGGCTCTGCTTAGATTTTTGAAATATTAAACTCCAAATTAAAAGCTCCATTAAAGAAATCTGGTACAGGCTGAAATTTCAGGTGAAAACTTACAGGAAGACAAGTGGGTTTTCTGTGAGACTGCCCTTAATTGTACTTGCTCTGAGCTGAATTCATAGCAGGACTCATACTTCACTGCACCTCCCCACCTGTCCCTTTTTTGGGAGGCACAGTGAATCCTTAAAAAGATCCCAGAATTACTTATAGGACCTAAGAAATATCACATTAGGATGCTTATCATGAGATGTGATATGAAACGATCAATTGTTATACAAAGACACTGTGACCATCTAATGGCTTTTCATGGATTAGCCATGATCAATAAATCCATTACTTTTATAGCTTGGGACAAAGGAATTAGCTGGCAGATCCTCTTATTTATCCCATTTATGACAGCCCTCAGGACAAGGACAGCAGCATCCCATCTGAGGTTGGAAAAGACCTCTAAGATCAAGTCCAAATCTTTTCCCAGCACTGCAAAACCCAGCACTAAACCATGTCTCCAAGTGCCACATTTACACAGCTTTTAAATCCTTCTGGGATGGGGACTCCAGCATCTCCTGAACAGTCTGTGCCAATGCTTGATCATCCTTTCAGTGAAGAATTTTCCTCAATATCCAACCTGAACCTCTCCTGGTGCCATTTCCTTCCATTCGGTTGCTTGATAGAAGAGACCAACCCCTTCAAGGAGTGATAAGGTCCTCCCAGTCCTCCTTTTCTCCACGATAAACCATCCCAGCTCCCTCAACCACTCCTAATGTGCTCTAAAACATGGGATCTACCATGAGAAACAGCCCTATGAAAGCACACACCAGACCCTGCCCCGGCAGCGAGGATTTGGCCAAAATGACAAAATCTATCTGTGGTTTTGTCCTTTAAGCAGCTGGAAGCATGGAGAGTCTTTGTCTTTGCAAAAGAAGCAGAATAAATGGATTGCACTTAGAGGAAAGCAATGGAAAGAGCAAAAAGAATGGGTTTGGAGATAAAGATCTACATGAAGAAAGATGAAGAGTCCTGCACCCTGAGAAAAGGCAAGTGCAGGGAGACACACAGGACATGCCAATAAAGATGTAAAGGGCCATTACAAAGGGCAAAGTGATCAATTATTTTCATTATTCAACCCTGATGGAGCAGCAGCAACTTAAGTTAAAGAAACAGCAGAAGGAAAAAAAAAATCACTTTATAATTGAAAAGCAGCTCCTGGAGAGGAGCTCTGAAAAGGGAACTGGTCGCTGGACTCAACAAATAATGGATGGCTCCTTACACAACAGCAGTTCTGCTGCAGGAAAATCACAATACAGGGATGTGTTTTATTTATTCTCTCGTGCTTCTCTGCTCCTCTGACCTGTGTTCACAGAATTACAGAATCATAGAATGGTTTGGGCTGGAAGGAACCTTAAAAATCATCTCACTACACCCCACTGCCATGAGCATGGGCACTTTTCACTAGACCAGCCGCTCACAGCTCCATCCAACCTGGCTTTAAACACTTTTTAAACACTTACAAACTGTTCCTCCCAAAAGCAAGAGTGTTGTCCTAATTTTAGGGCCACTTTTAGAGCAAATCCCTGTAACTCAATGCCTATATAACCAGGACAGGAAACCTGTAACCAAAAACGAGGGGAAACTCTGCTTGCTCTTCCCTTGCGCAGGCAAAAAAAGAAACACCTGCTGTGATTTCTATTCTCCCCTAAAAGATTATTCTACTCCCAGTAGCTGCAATATAAATAATGAAATTAGGGGAACAGGAAATCAAATGCCTCTAAACTGCCCTGAGCAGCCTGGTCTGGCAGAAAGTGTTCATAGTGGGGGGTCTGGAATGAGATAAACTTTAGGGTCCCTCCAAACCCAAACCATTCTGTGATGATTTTATGACACATGAGATAGGCAGGTGACGAGGCAGCTGTGACCAGGCTGCTTCATTATTCACCTTTAATTAAAGAAGGTGTTCTCTGAGAGTCCAAGAAGGACTTGCAGGATCCAGGTATTATCCCCAGGTAAGGATAGGATTTCAAATTCCTTGAAGCATGAGGACAACACTCTCCTGAGGAACAGTGTCCTTCCTAGACCAGCCATGCATGGAAGCACTGACTCACATTAATCCTGGAATTACAATACAGGCAGAAAATTTGACATCCAAGACTCCCTAAAAGGATATTGAGCCAAGAAAAAGGGCTAAACCCTTAGAGGGGAGATTTGACACGTAAATTCCTAAGGATTTAAGAGGAATGATGATGATAAGGGTCATGAGGAACCCCTGACATTGCCTCTTGGGTGGGATGCCTGGAAAAATACACTGTGCCAGGGTTTTAGTCTTGGGCCAGTCTCTTCCCACTGGTCAGAGCCTGAGGGTCCAGATTTCCAATGATCTGCTTGGCAAGG